CCTGGAATTCACTATGTAGACCAGGCTGGCCTCTAACTCAGAGACTGACCTGCCTCTCCCTCCAAAGTGCTTGGGACTAAAAGTGTGTACCCCCAGGCCTGGCAATTTTGATGTTTTCAGTTGTATAAGCAACAGTGTAATCAGTAATACAAGCAAATGTTTCTTTCTTCTCTCTTCTCCCTCTTTTTCTCTATCTCCTACCTTCCCTTTCCTTCCTAGCCCTAGTCTCCCTAGTTTTAAGATTATAGAAATGTATCACTTTGCCCAGCAATTTCTTTGTTTAAAAAAAAAAAAAATTAAACCAGGCCAGATAGATGGCTCAGCCATGTAAGATTAGGCTAACAACCAAAAATATAAAACAGCAAAACCATATGCACATATAGATATGAAGACATACACACATACATACATTTTAAACAGTAAGTAGATCCAGAAATGGTGAAACATACCTTATAGTTTCATTCCTACAAGGCTGAGGCAGGAGGATCTCAAGTTGAGAGCTTGGGCTGCATAGTGAATTTAGGCCTCTTGATGGGTTATATAGGAGACCAAGTCTGGTGTGGTGATGGATGCTTTTAATTCTAACACTTGGGAGGCTGAGTCAGGATTGCTAGTTTGAGGCCAGCCTGCACTACCATGTAAATTCCAGGCTAGCTTGTGCTCATAGTGAGACTGTCTCAAAAATACTACCCAAACCGAATAAAAAATAAACAAAGCTTATAAGTGAGACTATAATAAAACCTTGGTTTTGGATCTTTTTTCTACTTTGTGTCATTCGGAATCAGTTCATAGACCTTTCTTTATTTTTAGAGCTGCTTTTTATTATATTGAGCAAACACCCTAATACAGCTGAGATTTTCAATGTCTAGGTAACTTCTGAATTCAGTGAACTAATTTCCTTCAAGTGGTTATACATATAAGGTTTCTGTGCAACATGCTGGGGTGTGGATCAGTTGTTTTAAGTGCAATGTGGAGACCCCAGCAGAGAAAATAGCCTTATCTTTATTGTTGACTTGTGTTTACAATAGGATTTCTAGATAAAAGCCTGGCCTTTGATATGTTTGTATGGGTTCCTCTTCATTGGTCATCAGTAACAGTGAAGAGTTGTGTGAAAAAATGGCACATTGTATGTTTTTTTTTTTTTTCTTCTCCTGTTTGTCTTACTGGAAGAACAAGCTCATGGTGATGTTTTCTGTGATCTTGCCTTCTATATAGATTCTCAACATTTTGCAGAGACATTTAATGCAAAGCCACAAGATATGCACAAGTGCCTTGCCAGAAACCATATAGCATGTAACAGATTTTTAAAGGTTTTGCAAAGAGAACATTCTGTTGCCCAAATATACCAGGAAAATGGACAGTAAGTAATATTTTAAAGTTAGAAAATGTTTTCTTTTTGAATAAACACCAATATTAAATAAGCCTGGAAATAAGCTATGCCAATTTCAAATTCTTGGCTATTAATACTGTATTTTAAGTATATAATTTTACAATATTTTGCAGATGTGTGCCACTGTGCCCAGCTTAATTATACAAAAAAAAAATTTTTTTTTAAAACATTTTTAAAGATTTTTTTGTTTACTGTTTATACAGCATTCTGCTTGTATGTGAGCCAGCAGGCCAAAAGAGGACACCAGATCTCATATAGATGGTTCTGAGCTACCATGTGGTTGCTGGGAATTGAACGCAGGACCTTTGGAAGAACATCCAGTGCTCTTAACCTCTGAGCCATCTCTCCATTTCAATTATACAAATTTTAAAATTATTTTTATTTTATGCGTATGGGTGCTTTGCCTGTACACCACATGTATCTGGTGCTCATAGAGGCCAGAAGAAGGTATTGATTCTCTTGGAAGTGGAATTATAGACAGTTGTGAGCCACCAAGGTGGTGCTGGGAATTGAACCAGAGTCCTTGAAGGGCAGCAAGTGCTCTTTCTATCTATCTACCAATCTACCTACCTGCCTGCCTTCCTTTCTATCTATCTATCTATCTATCTATCTATCTATCTATCTATCTATCT